ACATACTCTTGCTTAAAGGAACACTATAGGGTCAGGAACACAATCATGTATTTCTGACCCTATAATGTAAAAACCACAATCTAGCCCCCCTGACCCCTTCTTGCCGCCCTAAATATTGTAAAATCTTACTTGTATTCTGGAGTCTTCAGCTGCTGGCTATGCCTCTGAATTGACTCTGGTGGTCTGAGCAAATTGCAATGCTTCCCCGTAGGATTGGCTGAGACTGTCAACTAGGCAGATCAGGGGCAGAGCCAGCACAAGTCAAACATAGCCCTGGACAATCAGCATCTCCTCATAAAAATAAATTGAATCAATGCATCTCTATGAGGAAAGTTCAGTGTCTGCATGCAGAGGGTGGAGACATTGAATTGCAGTGCTGCACACTAGTCAGTACTGCCCCAGGAAGGACCTCTAGCAGCCATCTAAGGAGTGGCCAGTGGAGTTATTTTCTCTGAAAAGGCAGTGTTTACTGCAAAAAGCCTAAAGGGAATGATTCTACTTACCAGAACAAATACAATGAGCTGTAGTTGTTCTGGTGACTATAGTGTCCCTTTAAGTTTGGAAGCTTAAGAGGGATGTATGGCAACAAAACTTGTGTGGACTGGCTGACACTAAAATTAGTTTAGGTAATGCAGATTTTGGTTTCTCTAACACGATAGCATGTCCCCTTTCTTCTACACTCACTACATACACCTTTACTCTGTCCCAGACTATATACCAGGAACTTCTGCCTGCTAGTAAGATGATAAGGAGACAGGTGGACATGTGAATGCTAGGGGACAGTCCTTAGAAAGCGTGGAGTAGGCGCATAATTTGATGCATTTATGTCAAGCTCAGGGTGCTGCCTGCATAGAATGCCCTTAGTTGGACAGCATGCATGATTGGTAGGCAACCTGACATGCATTCATGCCAGGCTGGCCTTCCAATTCTTTGGAAAGAAATGCCCTCTCTTTGGGCACGTTCACCCCTTTTTGGCAGGTCTAGTCACATGATTCGCGCCAGTGGCACACCCTTTTACACCGCCCATTGACATCCTGCTTCACTGGACACTGCTGTTGGATTTACTTGAAAGATGAAAACATAAATTAGAGAGAGATTAGCACATAGTATGTGTTTTCGTATAGCCGCATCCTTTGAGTTTCCCTCCAACACCATCTCCATCAGATACATGACGCTTGGGAGGTATGGTTGTTTTAGTGTGTTTGGTCAATAAGATTCTGTAATTAGGCCCATCATTATTGTCAGCTCCAGGCCCACTGGGCTCTTAATCTAGCCCTGGATAGGGGGATTGTTTGGCAGGAGGAAGCACAGAAGATGGAAGATGGCAGAGGAAGGTTATAAGGGATGAGGAGTTAAGGGAAAAGCTCATAGGCTTCTCTGTCTTTTTCACCTCTAACCCATATGTCTGCACCAGCCCCGATTTTTCCTCTATTCACCTTATTAAAGCAGCATACCTCGAAGGGATTTGGTGTGTCGGCCAGAATGTTTCTTGTTCTCATACTTGTTGCAAGAGTTATCTGTGAGAGGAGATGCGATGTCACTTCCTGTCAAAGCCTCTCATCATCACACAGAGCGCCATGCAGGGAGAGCAAAAAGAGGACCTGGCAGTGAGAACTGGCATGCTGGCAGGTCTCATTGAACAGGGGAAGTTCATTTATGGTGTGATTGGTTGTGTGGCCACTCCGCACCACCATGTATCTCCGCAACCTTTCACTCAAATATCTCTGAATACTGTCTTTCTGGTTGGATGTAGATGGCTGATGAGCCTGAATGGTCAGTCCACCCACGATGATAGCTTTATCCAAGATCACTTTACTTTAATCACTTCAATGAGCAGATGAAACGGGTCCATCATTTACAGTATTACCTGGATGCACACCAGGAGGAAAGGCTGCTGAAATATGGCTTAGTAAGCTATAACATAAGCTGGATTAGAGGCTACAAAGCTTTAATATGCCATGGACTAACTTCTATGTTTCTCTATCCCAAAATACCCCATAACCATAAGCTCCCCTAGCTCTGAACCTAGGCCCTCCAATGATATTCTATGTCATAGACCACCCTAACCTTAAAAAGATACCCTCACGTTAAACCATCTGCACAACACAAACCTTACTTTACTGTAATAAAATAGAAAATATAAAGCTGTGTCAAATATGAAATCAAAGAAAGTGCGTCATTGTTTACTTTGTCTTCGAATATTATGTGAACATTATAGTGATTTACTGATTACCGTTTCCTCAGGGAGACAAAGTAATGTGTGCAGGAAGAGGAAAAGGGACAATCCACTCTCCCAATTAAATTACAATGCATGTAGGGAGTCAAGGGGATTAAGAATTCTTGGGACTCAAAGTCCGATAACACTCCTGATATCCTAGAGTTAAGCCAGTGACCAGTTAGTGCTCTTAACAATTGTACTTCACACCCACGGAAACCCCTCATGCATTTCCACTATAAAATAAATAAAACATGCACCTAAATTAATAGGATTAAATAGTTA